TGAGGCAGGACCTGCCATCCCTGAATCCATGTTGATGCTGTGTTACAAAGTTCCTTCGCTCCAGATGCTCCACTAGCTTTCTTCGCACAATCTTCTCCATCAGCTTGCATGGTATGCAGGTTAGGGAAACTGGCCTGTAGTTCAGTGCCTCCTGTCTATCCCCTTTCTTGTATATCGGGACTACGTTAGCCGTCTTCCAAATTTTTGGCAATTCCCCTGTTACCAGTGATTTGTTATACACCATGGAGAGTGGCAGGCACAGTGCTTCTGCTCCTTCTTTTAGTATCCATGGTGCTATTCCATCTGGACCTATAGCCTTTGTCACGTCCAACTCTAACAAAAACTTTCTTACATCTCCACTGGGAATCCCAAACTCCTCTAGTGTGCTCTACTCTAATGTGAAGACCTCCTGGAAATTTCTTATTCAGTTCCTCACACACTTCCTTGTCGTTTGTAGTGAATCTGTCTGCCCCTAACCTCAGTTTCATTACCTGTTACTTCACTGTTGTTTTCCTCCTGATGTGGTGGTGAAGTCTTTGTGTCCCTTGCCTTGCTTCCTATGTCGTTTTCGTATTGCCCTTCTGCCTCTCTTCTCAACCTGACGTATTCATTCCAGGCTCTCTGGTATCTCTCTCTGCTCTCCAGTGTCCTGTTATTCCTATAGTTTCTCCGTGCCCCTTTACTTAGTTGCTTAGCAAGCTTACATCTCGGATTAAACCATGGGCTTCTCATCTGCATTATATTTTTTCCTTTTTGGACCGGGATAAACTTGTCTGCTGCCTCCTTACACTTCTGCGTGACGCGGTCCATCATGTCTTGGGCCGTCTTCCCCCTGAGCTCTCTTTCCCATGTTATGTCTGTGGGAAACAGCTCAGGGGCAAGACGGCCCCAGACATGATGGAACACATCACGCAGGAGTGTAAGGAGGCAGCAGACAAGTTTATCCCAGCCCAAAAAGGATTTTGTTTTTAATGCAGATGAGAAACCCCCTGGTTGGTGTAGTGTAGGTGTAGTCTGTGTCGGGTGTGTGAGGGCGGGTGAAGGGACGTGGTGTAGTGTTCATCAAGTTCACCAGGTTCAAAGAGAGGTGAACAGGATGATCGTGCAGGTTGAATGTGACGTTTCAAAGCAAAGCTTCACAGCTTGACGAGAGGACACTAGAGAAGATCAAGCTCTACCACTGACAGTAACTGAGGACATATTCAGTGAAGCTTTACAACCCACAACTTAACTCTTATCACAAGAGCAGAGAAGCTAAGGACGCTGGAGTGAATCTTTTCACAAATCAAAATGCATTGAAATTGAAACTATTTAAGCTACACTGAAACATTCAGAGCTGGAAGACCCAAGTAACCAAATATACACTAGTCTTCAGTGTTGGTCAGGACTACACTGAACTCTGCCTGTGTACGAGTGTATTAGTACACCTCTCAGTGTATGTACACCTGGGGTCTGAGTACACCTCTCAGTGTAAGTACACCTGGGGTCTGAGTACACCTCTCAGTGTATGTACACCTGGGGTCGGTGAGTCACTGTGGCACATGTGGTAGATGAGTCACAGTGGAATATGAGGTAGATGAGTCACTGTGGAATATGTGGTAGATGAGTCACTGTGGAATATGAGGTAGATGAGTCACTGTGGAATATGAGGTAGATGAGTCACTGTGGAATATGATGTAGATGAGTCACTGTGGAATATGTGGTAGATGAGTCACTGTGGAATATGTGGTAGATAAGTCACTGTGGAATATGTGGTAGATGAGCCACAGTGGAATATGTGATAGATGAGTCACAGTGGAATATGTGATAGATGAGCCACAGTGGAATATGTGGTAGATGAGCCACAGTGGAATATGTGGTAGATGAGCCACAGTGAAATATGTGGTAGATGAGTCACTGTGGAATATGTGGTAGATGAGCCACAGTGGAATATGTGGTAGATGAGCCACAGTGAAATATGTGGTAGATTAGTCACTGTGGAATATGTGGTAGATGAGCCACAGTGGAATATGTGGTAGATGAGTCACAGTGGAATATGTGATAGATGAGTCACAGTGGAATATATGGTAGATGAACCACAGTGGAATATGTGGTAGATGAGCCACAGTGGAATATGTGATAGATGAATCAGAATACAGTGATCAAAATGGATACAGTTCGTCCTGCCAGATGCGGCTTTCATTACAGTCGCTGTAAATTGCAGGCAATGAGAGCCTCATTACAGAGTGACTTATGAGTCTCCTCAGTCACTCTCCTCAAGTGTGAAAGAGTGTGAGTGCCAGCAGAAGGGTGATAATTGAAGAGTGTCTGGAGTGTGTGTAGGAGGAGAAGCAAGAAGCATGTATCATAGATTTAATAATCAATGGCTGATTGCTGACCCAGTATGATGTACATGCGACGGTATTGTGTACTCACAGTGTACTCATGGTGTATTCAGAGTGTACTCATAGTGAATTCATAGTGTATTCATAGTGTACTCATGGTGTACTCATGGTGTACTCATGGTGTATTCATGGTGTACTCATAGTGTATTCATAGTGTATTCATAATGTACTCATGGTGTACTCATGGTGTACTCATGGTGTATTCATGGTGTACTCATGGTGTATTCATGGTGTACTCATGGTGTACTCACAGTATACTCATAGTGTACTGTGTACTCACAGTGTACTCAGTGTACTCACAGTATATTCACAGTGTACTCATAGTATACTGTGTACTCACAGTATATTCACAGTATACTCATTGTGTACTCATAGTATACTGTGTACTCACAGTGTACTCAATGTAATCAGAGTGTACTCACAGTATACTCACAGTATACTCACAGTATACTCACAGTATACTCACCTGTTCCAACGAAACAGCTGAGTAAAGTATCGCTCCAGATGTAACTTAATCAGCAAATCTCTTGTAGCAGTAGAAGGAGCCGCTCTAGAGCCTCTGTAATGCTCTATACCTCATGGACCATTACTCTAACTCTTCACTTAACATGTTCCTTAAGATGACTGCATCATCTAGTACAAGACTGTTAGGTAACTGTGTGCAGGGGTTCGATCCCCACTCAAGTCTGACCTTCAGAACTGTCGCAATATCTTCACTCTAGTTTTCCAATTTATACAATGTGTAATTGGGACCAATTATGCACCTTAAAACAGGCCAAGAATTTAAAATATATCTTTAACACCAATTCTATATTGTTAAAAAGAGGAGGATAAAGATACCCAAATATTGATATCAATCTTTACTCTTTTTATATAAACTCTTAATACGTATACAAAAATATTCACTCTGAGCAAGAGTGCTTCACCGTTGCCAAGGAAAAGAGATCGATGCTCCTTTGTTTCTTACATGAGACATGCAATGCCATGGGACACATGACACATGACACATGACAACTTGATTGTTGTGGAGCCTGCTGAAGTCACCTGAACGCGGGGATGGTATTACTACACTGGAATTGGGCTTGACGCAGGGATGATATCCCTATCTTGACGCAGGAATGATATCACCACCTTGACGAAGGGGATGATATCACCACTGGGACGAAAGTGTCGTCTTGGGTCGTCTGGGGTCGTCTTGGGTCGTCTTGGGTGGTCTGGGTTCGTCTGGGGTCGTCTGGAGTCGTCTGGAGCCGTCTTGGGTCGTCTTGGGTCGTCTGAAGTCGTCTTGGGTCGTCTGGGGTCGTCTGGAGTCGTCTGGAGTCGTCTGGGGTCGTCTGGGATCGTCTGTGGTCGTCTGGGGTCGTCTGGGATCGTCTGAAGTCGTCTTGGGTCGTCTTGGGGTTGTCTGGAGTCGTCTGGAGTCGTCTGGGGTGATCTGGAGTCGTCTTGGGTCGTCCGGGATCGTCTGGGCTCGTCTGGAGTAGTCTTGGGTCGTCTAGGGTCGTCTGGGGTCGTCTGGGGTCGTCTGGAGTAGTCTTGGGTCGTCTGGAGTAGTCTTGGGTCGTCTGGAGTAGTCTTGGGTCGTCTGGAGTAGTCTTGGGTCGTCTGGAGTCGTCTGGGGTCATCTGGGGTCGTCTGGAGTAGTCTTGGGTCGTCTGGAGTAGTCTTGGGTTGTCTGGAGTAGTCTTGGGTCGTCTAGGGTCGTCTGGGATCGTCTGGAGTAGTCTTGGGTCGTCTGGAGTAGTCTTGGGTCGTCTGGAGTAGTCTTGGGTCGTCTGGAGTCGTCTTGGGTCGTCTGGAGTCGTCAGGGGTCATCTGGGGTCGTCTGGAGTAGTCTTGGGTTGTCTGGAGTAGTCTTGGGTCGTCTGGAGTAGTTTTGGGTCGTATGGAGTAGTCTTGGGTCGTCTGGTGTAGTCTTGGGTCGTCTGGGGTCGTCTGAGGTCATCTACTAACACTTCTCTTCCTTGTGTAAAATAAACACTCGTGTGTTTTCTAAGGGTTCTCGATTAGATTGAAAAAGAAGTTGCTATTGATGTGTTTACTTCAAGTATTCGTGTCGAGTCTGAACACTGCTTCAAACACAGACCCACCTGACGCAGCTGCTGCCTCACACGCCTGTTGAGCGAGTCATGCAGCTGTGCTTTGAGTTACTGGGATGTGGCCCCAGTTACAGGGATGTAGCCCTGTTACAGGGATGTGGCCCTAGTTACAGGGATGTGGCCCTAGTTACATAAGAGTTGCGTCACATACTCGTAGCTTGGACTGCATGACAAAGATGTTATTTACTTTACGTTAATATGGTTTGACATCACTTAGATGGGGATCGAGTCACTATTAGATGGGGTTCGAATCATATTGTCGATGCTTAAGCCACTTAAATAAAGCTTGATTCACAAAGATGTGATTACAAGCATATAGATGTGCCTTGATTCACATCTCTCCTACTAGAAGTTGACTAAGACTCACACACAAAAAAATACCTTTTCCACCTCTAGAAATTTAGAAAATGATATAATTGAAGTTTATAATAATAAAACAAAAAATAAACGAATAATCATATTTAGTGACTTCTCATTAGTTTTTAAATGTGAGTTAAAAGCTAGAAGAACAAAAGGGTTATAGGGTAAGAAGTGGTTCTTGTTCGTAGTTCTTGTTCGTATTTCTTGTTCGTAGTTCTTGTTCACTGGATACTTCACCAGCGAGGTATATACTATCTTCTATAGGATGAAAGTTGGTGTACTTCATTCTTTCATTTGTGTAGGTCTGGGAAAACATGTTCGACACTGTTCGAGTATTCTCCACATTTGTGCCAGTTGCTATAACAATTAACTCATGACAGAGCTGTCATGACACATACGTGACACCACATGACACACACGTGACACCACATAGAACATTCATCATGACACACGACTCAAAATACAGAATGACAAGTTACAAACCGCATACGTCCAATAATCTTTGTACTACACATGGCATTCTGACACACACCAGCCATGAAGCAGTCATAATTACATCCTGCACCTCTGGCTTCGTCACATAATGTAGTCTGAGACACATATATGTGATCAAAGTCATACATATGTGGCCCTAAGTCACCTATATGAGGCTTGAATCACATATATACACTGAGCCACATACGGTGCCATCTATATGTGTTTGGTGACACAATGTTATATGTTTTGACTTCGTGTTTGAAATTCAACAATTTCTGTAATGGGCATCGAGCAAATATTCAGCTTAAATTGATTTGTATATTCAGCCATATTGGGAAAGGTGTAGGATTTTCAGTCACTAAAGGATTTAAGGGACATGTAGGATTTTCAGTCACTAAAGGATTTAAGGGACATGTAGGATTTTCAGTCACTAAAGGATTTAAGGGACATGTAGGATTTTCAGTCACTAAAGGATTTAAGGGACATGTAGGATTTTCAGTCACTAAAGGATTTAAGGGACATGTAGGATTTTCAGTCACTAAAGGATTTAAGGGACATGTAGGATTTTCAACGATCTTAAAGCAATTGGACACATTAACATGTTCGTTAATATGTCCAATTAAAATGAAAAATGTTGAAAATGAGCTGTAAATCCTATATGGTTCACCCTATATTAATGAAAATATATTGGTTCCTAGCTGACCGGGTTCGAATCCTTCAGGGGTCAAGAGTTTTCTGATGCCTGTTTGATTGGAGACTATTGAACCTTGACGCACGAATGACACTCACTCGGCCCCAGCTTGCTGAAGTGATTTGATGAAATATCTGTGGCCAAAATGGGTACCGAGAGCTGTCGGGTGTTGGGTTAAGCGTCAGACGACTTCCAATACTTTAGTACAGTCATGAGTGTGGCCGAGTGGTTATAACACTGAACACAACAAGGGGGCATGGAGGCCCTGGGTGAACAGGTTCGAATCTTTAAGGAGTCAAGAGTTTTCTCAGCTCTCGTTTACTCTCTTCTCCAGAGCACTGGTGCAAGAAACATTAAATAACTCTGCAAAGATCAAGATGTTTACTGTTGCTGTGAGGTAGAGATAATGCCTCTGATAGCCTAAGCCTGAGAGTCAGTCGTTCACTAATGTCAGTCTACAGTTGTGGCAGCATTTACAAAGTGGTGTGATGGTATGATGGGTAGTTTTTTTACGTGGATATCTGACTTACGCCACAGTAGGTGATTTAAGCCACATATATGCACAAAGGATCCTTAAGTACTTGCAGTCACATATGATAAAGTTGTCTTGGCCCTATACGGCAGCATTTTGGGCTTAACACAAATGAATGCCTCTGCGTGCGAGTGTCATCAAAATGAATGCCTCTGCATGCGTGTATCATCAAAATGAATGCCTCTGCATGCGAGTATCATCAAAATGAATGCCTCTGCATGCGTGTATCATCAAAATGAATGCCTCTGCATGCGAGTATCATCAAAATGAATGCCTCTGCATGCGAGTATCATCAAAATGAATGCCTCTGCATGCGAGTATCATCAAAATGAATGCCTCTGCATGCGTGTATCAGAGGATTTTGATTACATCAAAATCCTCTGTAATCATAATGTTCTGTCGTGCCTGTACTGCACCTGATGGCTTCGGGGTTCGATTCTCGCTTCATAACGGAGACGTTTGAGCTCATTTTCTTGCACATGATTCATCTGTTTCCCCTACCAGTATATAGTTATTTTCGAGTTTATCAACTGTTGTGGCTTCTCATCCTGGGAAAGGTTAACTTACCAAGGCTGTTGGGAGACCTCGATAGACGTAATATGATAGATTGTTCTAGAAGCTCTGACTGTCGTACGGCTGTTTAATGACGTACCAAGACGATGACGACGTCTCCTTGGGACTCAAGTAACAACTTGACCAATGGGAACTATTGGCAGGAACTTTGACGCTCCAGACGCCACGAGGGAAGGTGCTCATTGACTCGCCTCCTGCAGAGTCGGCGTTCGAGCCCCAGTGATCCTAGTGGTGAGACTATTCCTCTACACAGTCCCCACAGCCTAGCCCCGTGTCTCCTAGCCCTCGTTGGTGACACGCAGGTAAATGGGCTACAGGCTCGTGTCTCAACGATAGTGTACTCCAGCTGGCTTTGTACTCCAGCTGGCTTAGTACTCTCAAGCTGGCTGAGTACTCTAGCTGGCTTAGTACTCGAGCTGGCTTAGTACTCCAGCTGGCTTAGTACTCCAGCTGACAAGGAGTCGCGTTCTGCTCCACGACACAGTTTCTATCCGGCGACACAGACTAATGAGATCAATAGCTTCTGCTGACAGCTGTGGCACAGCGGCTCCGTCTCTGTGTATATTTGTGTAAAGAAAAACCCATTGTGGTCAGTGGCAAAGTGGTGTTTCTGTGGCGCTAACGACACAGTGCCAACAGCTGCTTGTCGGCGACGGTCTGTGCCACGACACTGTTCAACGACACGGTCTGACACAGACTGTACTGAGAGGCACAGACTCTACTGAGAGACACATACTCTACTGAGAGACACAGAGGCTACTGAGAGAGACGCAGACTCTACTGAGAGAGACACAGATTCTACTGAGAGAGAAACAGAGTCTACTGAGAGCGACACAGAGTCTACTGAGAGAGACACAGACTCTACTGAGAGAGTCACAGACTCTACTGAGAGAGACACAGAGTCTACTGAGAGAGACACAGAGTCTACTGAGAGAGACACAGAGTCTACTGAGAGAGACGCAGACTCTACTGAGAGAGACACAGACTCTACTGAGAGAGTCTACTGAGAGACACAGACCCTACTCAGAGAGACACAGAGTCTACTGAGAGCGACACAGAGTCTACTGAGAGAGACACAGAGTCTACTGAGAGAGACACAGAGTCTACTGATAGAGACACAGACTACTGAGAGACACAGACTCTACTGAGAGAGTCTACTGAGAGACACAGACTCTACTGAGAGACACAGACACTACTGAGAGAGACACAGACTCTACTGAGAGAGACACAGACTCTACTGAGAGACACAGACTCTACTGAGAGAGACACAGACTCTACTGAGAGACACAGAGTCTATTGAGAGACACAGACTCTACTGAGACACAGACTCTACTGAGAGACACAGACTCTACTGAGAGAGACACAGACTCTACTGAGAGACACAGACTCTACTGAGAGAGACACAGACTCTACTGAGAGAGACAGAGTCTACTGAGAGAGACACAGACTCTACTGAGAGCCACAGACTCTACTGAGAGAGACACAGAGTCTACTGAGAGAGACACAGACTCTACTGAGATAGTCTACTGAGAGACACAGACCCTACTGAGAGAGACACAGAGTCTACTGAGAGCGACACAGAGTCTACTGAGAGAGACACAGAGTCTACTGAGAGAGACACAGGCTCTACTGAGAGACACACAGACTCTACTGAGAGAGACACAGACTACTGAGAGCGACACAGACTATACTGAGTGAGACACAGACTCTACTGAGAGACACAGACTCTACTGAGAGAGACACAGAGTCTACTGAGAGACACAGACTCTACTGAGAGACACAGACTCTACTGAGACACAGACTCTACTGAGAGACACAGACTCTACTGAGAGAGACACAGACTCTACTGAGAGAGACACAGACTCTACTGAGAGAGCCACAGTCTACTGAGAGCCATAGACTCTACTGAGAGAGTCTACTGAGAGACTACCATGCGCCATGAGCCACAGACGACTCTCCTGACACAGGCTAAAAGGTCGTCAACAGTTATTCATTAGTCCTTTACTGAGACCAATTTCAGGGAGATGGTAATGGATGTTGAGGTGTTGAGGCGCCGCCGTGATGAACCCAGGGAGCCGGTCGGCCGAGCGGACAGCACGCTGGACTTGTGATCCTGTGGTCCTGGGGTCGATCCCAGGCGCCGGCGAGAAACAATGGGCAGAGTTTTACCCTATGCCCCTGTTACCTAGCAGTAAAATAGGTACCTGGGTGTTAGTCAGCTGTCACGGGCTGCTTCCTGGGGGTGGAGGCCTGGTCGAGGACCGGGCCGCGGGGACACTAAAAGCCCCGAAATCATCTCAAGATAACCTCAAGATAACCTGTCCTCCCATACGGGACCGAATGACGTCAAACACCGTAGTTACGATTGAATGAAGTAGTTGATTATTATGTGTTTGCTGTTTGATATCATTTTCTCAGAGCATTTTGTCCCTTGTTTACAAGTTTCTGTCAGTCAATTACAGCCGCTATCGTGACTGTTACGTCAGCCTGTGTCAGTCTCGAGGTACGACAGTCATTGACAGTCACAGTCGTTGCTTGATGATAACTGGGTGACACACTGCTTGTTTTACTGCTCAAGTTAAAAAGAGCTTTGAAGTGTGAGGTCGTGGATGTTACTCTCGGTGGCATCACTGAAGCTTTGCCTCCACGTTCACCCAGGACTTGTCTGCCAGCACTTGTCTGCTGGTGATGACGTGTGTGGGGGGATCTAGCTCCTGTCCCCCCACCCCCTTGTCTGCTGGACCTGGCACGTTATATTCCTTGACGGTTGTGTTGTTGGTACTATGTAAGGGTTGTAGTTGTGGATGGAGTGGCTTAGACAGTTGTGCTGCCTCAGTGACCCATGTTGCCCGCACAGACACTCAACAAGTGTTTCCTAACTTCAACTCACTTCCTCTTCCAGCTTTCATATAAACTCTCTAATCCTATTTTGTTCCAATTTAAAGAAAATGCCCTTGTCCAACTTATGTATTAACTTCAGTATTTTTTATGTTGTGATCATTACTCCTATGCTCCTGTTGGGGTGAGAGATTTAGTTCCCCAAGACTTTCCTTGTTCCTAAGTATTTTTAACTCGAGTGTTTAGCTTGTGGCGAACGGTAATCTTTGCTTGGCGAGGTACAGATGCCTTGCCGGCGTTGCATATTCTAGTCTTACGTAGGTTAAAGAAATTGTCTTGAAAGAGACATTCGTTAGATGCATATATGTAGTTACAATGACTGCTAGCGTCCCACTCCCTGCTGATGTTATCATGGCCATGTGTGTGCCTCTGGTGGTGGCGGTGAAGCAACTTAGCGTCTCTGAAGTACAAGAGAATTCAAGTCTGCGAAATCTTCAATTGCATTTTAATTGCAGAAGATTTTGCAAGAGTACTAGTATTCTTTATGGTAGTCTCCCCCAGGAGTTCTGTTGCTTACAGTAGTCTCCCTGTGAGTATTATCAGGAAGTAGACACAGTGATGCATATTGTAGTAATATTAGCAGGATAACTTTTGCTAGTCTTGGTAATATTATCCTATCTCTTTAGTGAATGCTGAGTCATAAAGTAGTATTATCCAGTGTAAGATATGGTACAGATGGCCGTGGATAAGGATGCACCTCCAGCTCTCACAGTCAATATATTGGATCAATATATTGATCAAATGTATTTGATCAATACATGCTTTTGCCGTCGTTGAAAAAATACACCAAACAATTCGTTCATTCATTTCCTTTCACTCTTCTTTCATTAACTTCTCGTCACTCTTCTTTCATTCATTTCTGTTCACCCTGCTTTCATTCATTCAGACTGCTGTTGCGGGTGAGAGCTTAGACCCGGGGAATAGTGTGTCGAGGCTGGTTGCACCATCACTCTCTGTGTCCAGTCTGTGAGGTGGCAGGAAGCCAGGTGACCTATCATACGGAACTCTCTCGTTTGGAGACTAACGAGGTGTCAGTCTGCTGGTCGTCGGCCAGGAGTGGTCGAGCCAGGTCGTGCTGGTGGTGGTGGTGGTGGTAGTTCAGGTCAAGCGAGGAGTCGTCGCTGTAGGCCAGGACATGACCCGGCGACCTGTCAAGGCTGGCTTGACTGTGGGCCTCTCTGAGGTCAAAGGTCACTCGGGTGCTTGAGTGGCGGGTGTCAAGGGTGGCATAGACAGTTGGCACGGCCCTTGACCGTCTTGACGCCCAGGTGACCTGTTTGCCAGCCTCCAGGTCAAGGTGGGCGTACCGCGGGTCCTCCTGTAGGGGAAAGAGCCACATGTTAATGAAGATTAATCTCACACTCACCTCACACTCATCTCAGACTCATCTCAGACTCGTAGCTGAGTAGCAGACATTCTGCAGGCTGTTGTTGGGTTACCGGCATGCATATGCAATATGGTTCAAGCCAAAAGATAGATAGATAGATAGATAGATAGATAGATAGATAGATAGATAGATAGATAGAGAGAGAGATAGAGAGAGAGAGAGACAGAGAGAGAGAGAGAGACAGAGAGAGAACATATGTATTATTGATGTATAATTAGAACCCTCTTATTGTTAAACATTCAATTGTAGCACATACTGACGTCCCTCGCCACATATCAGTGTTCACTACCACATATCAGTGTTCACTACCACATATCAGTGTCCACTACCACATATCAGTGTCCATTACCACATATCAGTGTTCACTACCTTATATCAGTGTTCACTACCACATATCAGTGTTCACTACCACATATCAGTGTCCACTACCACATATCAGTGTTCACTACCACATATCAGTGTTCACTACCACATATCAGTGTTCACTACCACATATCAGTGTCCACTACCACATATCAGTGTTCACTACCACATGTCAGTGTTCGCTACCACATATCAGTGTTCACTACCACATATCAGTGTTCGCTACCACATATCAGTGTTCACTACCACATATCAGTGTTCACTACCACATATCAGTGTTCACTACCACATATCAGTGTTCACTACCACATATCAGTGTTCACTACCACATATCAGTGTTCGCTACCACATATCAGTGTTCACTACCACATATCAGTGTTCACTACCACATATCAGTGTCCACTACCACATATCAGTGTTCACTACCACATGTCAGTGTTCGCTACCACATATCAGTGTTCACTACCACATATCAGTGTTCACTACCACATGTCAGTGTTCGCTACCACATATCAGTGTTCACTACCACATATCAGTGTTCGCTACCACATATCAGTGTTCACTACCACATATCAGTGTTCACTACCACATATCAGTGTTCACTACCACATATCAGTGTTCACTACCACATATCAGTGTTCACTACCACATATCAGTGTCCACTACCACATATCAGTGTTCACTACCACATGTCAGTGTTCGCTACCACATATCAGTGTTCACTACCACATATCAGTGTTCGCTACCACATATCAGTGTTCACTACCACATATCAGTGTTCACTACCACATATCAGTGTTCACTACCACATATCAGTGTTCACTACCACATATCAGTGTTCGCTACCACATATCAGTGTTCACTACCACATATCAGTGTTCACTACCACATATCAGTGTTCACCACAGAGAGTGTCGTTCAGGAACTCTTACACAATGCTAGAACAAAAAAAAAAGCCAAAAATATTACAACTATCAGATAACCAGCTTTCCTATATCCAATTATCCAAGTCCTCTTTGTAAAGATTATATAGACCTACATTGTTGCTCTTTGCAAAGATTATATAGGCCTACGTTGTTCCTCTTTGTAAAGATTATATAGGCCTACATTGTTCCTCTTTGTAAAGATTATATAGGCCTACATTGTTCCTCTTTGCAAAGATTATATAGGCCTACATTGTTCCTCTTTGTAAAGATTATATAGGCCTACATTGTTCCTCTTTGTAAAGATTATATAGGCCTACATTGTTCCTCTTTGCAAAGATTATATAGGCCTACATTGTTCCTCTTTGTAAAGATTATATAGGCCTACATTGTTCCTCTTTGTAAAGATTATATAGGCCTACATTGTTCCTCTTTGTAAAGAGTAACAAATCAGATCTATATTCAACCCATACAACAATTAAAGTAATTGCTTATTGTAGTAGAAATAAGCCAAATAAATTGTCAAATTAAACACCGTAGCATTAAAACAAAACAAGTCTGTGAGTCTTAAACAAATCTTACTTGTAATTGTGTAAAATCAAGTAACCTCTCCTCCTACACAGAACGTCGCTTTTCGCACGTATGCGAGACATAAAGGCCCGAAAATTCTCGTTCTAGAAAATGTAAGCGGCTGCCCAAAGTGACGTACTGTCCCGTTTTCTGTTCTAGGTCCTCTGGCAGGTTAGGAGAGACAACTTTAAATTGACCGTTTTCTTGACGATGGGACACTTAGGAGGACAGACTTGATCAAGAGAGTAATGGTGTGGTTAGAGTTACAAGGATAACTTAGACACATTTAAAAAAAAGGAAATCGATGCGTTTCTCTACCAATGTTGAAGGAGCCTAATTGCCAGATGCAAAAAAAGGAATTTTACCCAGAAAATAAGACAGTCATTCGTCTCGTAAGAGCGTAGGAAGAGGCCCGGCGGGTTCGTGAGCAATTAATTACAAAACGGATCAAAGAGAAGTCTTAGACAGGCGAAATTCCAATATTTCTCTCCAGAAATATGAATATATTCAAAGAAAATTCATCTCTTGCTTATGTGTTGCATCCTGGTCTGTGAGGCTGTTGGTGTTTGTGTTCCGCATGGCCACACAGCCAGCCATCACAGGCAGGCTGATCCAGTAATTTCAACAAAAGAATTTGTCAAGTTCCCGTTTGAAAGCTGTCACTGTTGCATCAGTGACTTCACTGTTGCTTCAGTGACTTCACTGTTGCTCCAGTGACTTCACTGTTGCTCCAGCGACTTCACTGTTGCTTCAGCGACTTCACTGTTGCTTCAGCGACTTCACGGTTGCTTCAGCGACTTCACTGTTGCTCCAGCGACTTCACTGTTGCTTCAGCGACTTCACTGTTGCTTCAGCGACTTCACTGTTGCTTCAGTGACTTCACTGTTGCTTCAGTGACTTCACTGTTGCTTCAGTGACTTCACTGTTGCTTCAGTGACTTCACTGTTGCTTCAGCGACTTCACTGTTGCTCCAGCGACTTCACTGTTGCTCCAGCGACTTCACTGTTGCTTCAGCGACTTCACTGTTGCTCCAGCGACTTCACTGTTGCTTCAGCGACTTCACCGTTGCTTCAGTGACTTCACTGTTGCTCCAGCGACTTCACTGTTGCTTCAGCGACTTCACTGTTGCTTCAGTGACTTCAATGTTGCTTCAGTGATTTCACTGTTGCTTCAGTGACTTCACTGTTGCTTCAGTGACTTCACTGTTGCTTCAGCGACTTCACTGTTGCTCCAGCGACTTCACTGTTGCTTCAGCGACTTCACTGTTGCTCCAGCGACTTCACTGTTGCTTCAGCGACTTTACCGTTGCTTCAGTGACTTCACTGTTGCTCCAGCGACTTCACTGTTGCTTCAGTGACTTCACTGTTGCTTCAGCGACTTCACTGTTGCTCCAGCGACTTCACTGTTGCTTCAGCGACTTCACTGTTGCTTCAGCGACTTCACCGTTGCTTCAGCGACTTCACCGTTGCTTCAGCGACTTCACCGTTGCTTCAGTGACTTCACTGTTGCTCCAGCGACTTCACTGTTGCTCCAGCGACTTCACTGTTGCTCCAGCGACTTCACTGTTGCTCCAGCGACTTCACTGTTGCTCCAGCGACTTCACTGTTGCTTCAGCGACTTCACTGTTGCTTCAGCGACTTCACTGTTGCTTCAGCGACTTCACTGTTGCTTCAGCGACTTCACCGTTGCTTCAGCGACTTCACCGTTGCTTCAGTGACTTCACTGTTGCTCCAGCGACTTCACTGTTGCTCCAGCGACTTCACTGTTGCTCCAGCGACTTCACTGTTGCTCCAGCGACTTCACTGTTGCTCCAGCGACTTCACTGTTGCTTCAGCGACTTCACTGTTGCTTCAGCGACTTCACTGTTGCTCCAGCGACTTCACTGTTGCTTCAGCGACTTCACTGTTGCTTCAGCGACTTCACCGTTGCTTCAGTGACAAGTCTTCACTGCTGCTTCAGTCACAAGCCTTCACTGTTGCTTCAAGGTATCCCAGTTCTCACTGCGTGTATTGGACACTTCGTGCCACACCTCTCACTACAGTATGTTGTATTTTCACTGTAGGCCGTTCGAACCCGTCCATCCTGCTCTTATCTTGAGTAGTTTGTAAGATCAAAGATTGTTGTAAGATCTCCATCTCAACAATTACAATCTGTGTGTTTTGAGGTGATTTCAATACATTATGTTTCAATACATTATTACACAGACATGTTAAACATGTCTGTTTATTCTGTTATATACAGATGTTATATATTCTATATAATTATATGTTATATATATATATTCTGTTATCTCGGATATCTTGAAGCTGGAGGCTGTGGATACTGGACTATGTTCCTTATGGCATAGAACCAGTGATTTGAAGAGTGCTATTACTGATTTTATATCACATGTTCTGAATGTTCTCTGTTATATCCCATGTTCTGAGTGTTCTTTATTATATCCCATGTTCTGAATGTTCTCTGGCACATCCCATGTTCTGAATGTTCTCTGGCACATCCCATGTTCTGAATGTTCTCTGGCACATCCCATGTTCTGAATGTTCTCTGGCACATCCCATGTTCTGAATGTTCTCTGGCACATCCCATGTTCTGAATGTTCTCTGGCACATCCCATGTTCTGAATGTTCTCTGGCACATCCCATGTTCTGAATGTTCTGTGTCACATCCCATGTTCTGAATGTTCTCTGGCACATCCCATGTTCTGAATGTTCTGTGTCACATCCCATGTTCTGATTGTTCTCATTAACCACCCTATCATTTCCTTGCCTGTTACTAGGCAATTGTGTTCTTTAACTAGAGGTCTTCTGGGTGTTATTACATGATCACTGAACTGCTCTTTCCGTATGTGTGGGAGACCGGGCCGCCTCATCTATCTTGTAATCCTTCTAATTACTTCGTTATTTTCTTTGTAATTGTAATTTGGCTCAGACGGACAACACATTATATTCAGAGCTTCAAGTTTCGAACCACACTGAGGCGCCAAGTTTCGAACCACACTGAGGCGCCAAGTTTCGAACCACACTGAGGCTCCAAGCTTTGAACCACACTGAGGCTCTAAGCTTTGAACCACACTGAGGCTCTAAGCTTTGAACCACACTGAGGCTCCAAGCTTTGAACCACACTGAGGCTCTAAGCTTTGAACCACACTGAGGCTCTAAGCTTTGAACCACACTGAGGCTCTAAGCTTTGAACCACACTGAGGCTCCAAGCTTTGAACCACACTGAGGCTCCAAGCTTTGAACCACACTGAGGCTCTAAGCTTTGAACCACACTGAGGCTCCAAGCTTTGAACCACACTGAGGCTCCAAGCTTTGAACCACACTGAGGCTCCGAGCTTTGAACCACACTGAGGCAAATGTTGACTCGATTTACTGTCACTATTTTGCACCAAATGTCTTCATAGTTTTGTCTCTGGGATCAAGAAGTGGCCGAAGACTTCTTGAAGAACAAGAATTGTGGACCGAGAAGATGGTGTCTTAGACCATACGAGGCAGCTCCTTGTTACTTCCACTTGAAGACAGTCGCAAGCAGTTGTAACTTTCCACTACACACAATCCCGCGACTGTTACAAGGCAATTTGCTTCAAGACGCTCGTGTTCTTAACTCTCTACTCACCATCGCAGGCGATGAGTCACAATAACGAGGCTGAAGTATGTTGACCAGACCACACACTAGAAGGTGAAGGGACGACGACGTTTCGGTCCGTCCTGGACCATTTTGAAGTCAATTGTGATTGTCTACAATCGACTTGAGAATGGTCCAGGACGGACCGAAACGTGGTCGTCCCTTCACCTTATAGTGTGTGGTCTGGTCAATCTACTTACCTTCGTGGTATTGCTCATTCCATGAAAAATAAGTTGGATTCTTAGCCAATTTGCCTTCTGGGATAGTTAGACCCAGTTCCCACTTACACGTCAAAATCCATAACGGGGAAAATATGATGTAATATAAATGATAACGAATCACAAACAATCCTGTTTTTTTATGCCTGGGATGTCGTTTAGGTTAGATTCGGGCAATTTAGTACACCATTTATGTGGCGTCTTGATAACTGGAGAGGCCGAGCTCTCTTAACACCTTCTCAAACACCTTAACACACACACAGGCGAGACCAAAGAGCCAAAGCTCAACCCCCGCAAGCACAGTTAGGTGAGTACATGTCCCGGAATACTAGTCCCGGACTTGTCCCGGAACTGAGAGGTATGAGCTACTAGGAAAGGCTGAAGGAGCTGAACCTCACATCCCTGGAAAACAGAAGAGTAAGAGGAGACATGATAACCACCTAAAAAATTCTCAAGGGAATTGACAGGGTGGACAAAGACAAACTCTTCAGCACGGGTGGGACACGAACAAGGGGACACAGGTGGAAACTTAGTACCCAGATGAGCCACAGAGACGTTAGAAAGAATTTTTTCAGTGTAAGAGTAGTTAACAGATGGAATGCATTAGGCAGTGATGCGGTGGAGGCTGACTCCATACATAGTTTCAAATGTAGATATGATAGAGCCCAATAGGCTCAGGAACCTGTACACCAGTTGATTGACAGTTGAGAGGCGGGACCAAAGAGCCAGAGCTCAACCCCCGCAAGCACAAATAGGTGAGTACATGTGGTGTTAGTGCGTCTCGCCCGCACGTTGTGATGTGGAAGGATGTCTCAGTATTTTGAGGATGTCTCCATCATGGTGTCACGTCTTAGTAGTTTCAATAGTTTACACTGAGTGTAAACTACACTGAGTGTAAACTACACTGAGTGTATACTACACTGAGTGTAAACTACACTGAGTGTAAACTACACTGAGTGTAAACTACACTGAGTGTAAACTACACTGAGTGTAAACTACACTGAGTGTAAACTACACTGAGTGTAAACTACACTGAGTGTAAACTACACTGAGTGTAAACTACACTGAGTGTAAACTACACTGAGTGTAAACTACACTGAGTGTAAACTACACTGAGTGTAAACTACACTGAGTGTAAACTACACTGAGTGTAAACTACACTGAGTGGCCTTGCTAATGGTATTTCCGATTAATCCCCCTTGTTAGCTTTGTCCTGGGTTCGTATCCTGCCCGGGGAGGATTTACTGGCCACAAATCCTTAACTCTAGCCTCTGTTCACCCAGCAGTAAAATGGGTACCTGGTTGTAGAAACTATCCGTCGTGGGGTCGTATTCCAGGGACCACAGGATTAAGGACCTGCCCGAAACGCTACGCGTACTAGTGGCTGTACAGGAATGTATCAACTCTTGTATATATATAAATCAATCAATAAATAAACAAATACAATAAATAATGTAGTAACATCGATTAACAAAATGTCAATACTGTGAAGAAATGCCCGACAGACCACTGGAACATTATCTAACACAGTGCACAGTTACGGCCACAACAGACCACTGGAACATTACCTAACACAGTGCACAGTTACAACCACAACAGGCCACTGGAACATTATCTAACACAGTGCACAGTTACGGCCACAACAGACCACTGGAACATTATCTAACACAGTGCACAGTTACAGCCACAACAGACCGCTGGAACATTATCTAACACAGTGCACAGTTACAACCACAACAGACCACTGGAACATTATCTAACACAGTGCACAGTTACAACCACAACAGGCCACTGGAACATTATCTAACACAGTGCACAGTTACAGCCACAACAGACCACTGGAACATTATCTAACACAGTGCACAGTTACAGCCACAACAGACCACTGGAACATTATCTAACACAGTGCACAGTTACAACCACAACAGGCCACTGGAACATTATCTAACACAGTGCACAGTTACAACCACAACAGACCACTGGAACATTATCTAACACAGTGCACAGTTACAACCACAACAGACCACTGGAACATTATCTAACACAGTGCACAGTTACAACCACAACAGACCACTGGAACATTATCTAACACAGTGCACAGTTACAACCACAACAGACCACTGGAACATTATCTAACACAATGCACAGTTACAACCACAACAGACCACTGGAACATTATCTAACACAATGCACAGTTACAAACCCATTAAGATTTCAACTAAGATTCAACAGAGCAGAAGAAGTTGTTAAACACATTGGCCATAATCTTACTGAAGCGACCATACGAGTCATACACACTCACACTCCGCCCAAGTAAAACAGAAACAAGCAACAAGTAACTTAGCCAGCCAGCCAAAGACTTAGGGGCCCGCCCAGTGGGCCAGCCAAAGACTTAGGGGCCCGCCCAGTGGGCCAGCCAGAGGCTTAGGGCCCGCCCAGTGGGCCAGCCAGAGGCTTAGGGCCCGCCCAGTGGGCCAGCCAGAGGCTTAGGGCCCGCCCAGTGGGCCAGCCAGAGGCTTAGGGCCCGCCCAGTGGGCCAGCCAGAGGCTTAGGGCCCGCCCAGTGGGCCAGCCAGAGGCTTAGGGCCCGCCCAGTGGGCCAGCCAGAGGCTTAGGGCCCGCCCAGTGGGCCAGCCAGAGGCTTAGGGCCCGCCCAGTGGGCCAGCCAGAGGCTTAGGGCCCGCCCAGTGGGCCAGCCAGAGGCTTAGGGGCCGCCCAGTGGGCCAGCCAGAGGCTTAGGGCCCGCCCAGTGGGCCAGCCAGAGGCTTAGGGCCCGCTCAGTGGGCCAGCCAGAGGCTTAGGGGCCGCCCAGTGGGCCAGCCAATGACTTAGGGGCCCGCTCAGTGGGCCAGCCAGAGGCTTAGGGCCCGCTCAGTGGGCCAGCCAGAGGCTTAGGGGCCTCCCAGTGGGCCAGCCAGAGGCTTAGGGCCCTCCCAGTGGGCCAGCCAGAGGCTTAGGGCCCTCCCAGTGGGCCAGCCAGAGGCTTAGGGCCCGCTCAGTGGGCCAGCCAGAGGCTTAGGGGCCCGCCCAGTGGGCCAGCCAGAGGCTTAGGGGCCTCCCAGTGGGCCAGCCAGAGGCTTAGGGCCCGCCCAGTGGGCCAGCCAGAGGCTTAGGGCCCGCCCAGTGGGCCAGCCAGAGGCTTAGGGCCCGCTCAGTGGGCCAGCCAGAGGCTTAGGGGCCCGCCCAGTGGGCCAGCCAGAGGCTTAGGGCCCTCCCAGTGGGCCAGCCAGAGGCTTAGGGCCCGCTCAGTGGGCCAGCCAGAGGCTTAGGGCCCGCTCAGTGGGCCAGCCAGAGGCTTAGGGGCCCGCTCAGTGGGCCAGCCAGAGGCTTAGGGGCCCGCTCAGTGGGCCAGCCAGAGGCTTAGGGGCCGCCCAGTGGGCCAGCCAGAGGCTTAGGGGCCGCCCAGTGGGCCAGCCAGAGGCTTAGGGGCCGCCCAGTGGGCCAGCCAGAGGCTTAGGGGCCGCCCAGTGGGCCAGCCAGAGGCTTAGGGGCCGCCCAGTGGGCCAGCCAGAGGCTTAGGGGCCGCCCAGTGGGCCAGCCAGAGACTTAGGGGCCGCCCAGTGGGCCAGCCAGAGGCTTAGGGGCCGCCCAGTGGGCCAGCCAGAGACTTAGGGGCCCGCTCAGTGGGCCAGCCAGAGGCTTAGGGCCCGCCCAGTGGGCCAGCCAGAGGCTTAGGGCCCGCTCAGTGGGCCAGCCAGAGGCTTAGGGGCCGCCCAGTGGGCCAGCCAATGACTTAGGGCCCGCCCAGTGGGCCAGCCAATGACTTAGGGGCCCTCCCAGTGGGCCAGCCAGAGACTTAGGGCCCGCCCAGTGGGCCAGCCAGAGACTTAGGGACCAGCTCAGGAATATCTAGTCAAAAACTAAAAAATAAATCGATTAACAGGAGTCTGGCCATAGTGTTGGGTGCTCAGGTTTAATGACCACTTGTTCTAAAGTCAGTGTGTCCAGTTCATGAAACAATCACTATGACCTTTTACTCTAATTATACATTGTAAATGTGTGGCCTCGTCTCTGGTGGACTCAAAAACACTCCAATTGTGTTCACTACATTACTGAACTTGTAGGCATTTTTTTTTTTCAGAAATTCGATTTGTATGTGTGAATGTCCGGCCGGGTTCGTACCTTATCATCTAGGAGACAAGTGCTTGTATTAGATCTGATCTTTGTGCATGTAAAAGTGTATCGTATTTTTTATATCTTGCTTGCCTTTCTGTTTAAAAAAAATCCCACTATTTATTTTGTGTGTAGAGTTTGTCACTGCTTATGAATACCTTATGATGAGTAAACTTACACTGGTATTATTGGTACCATACAATGTAAATACTTCTATATATAATCGTAATAATAATGTAAACACAAACTGAAAACAATGAGAGTTATTACAAGACTAAAATAGTTCCACAGAGGCTTTTTTTCCCTGCAAGATGAAGACATTTTTACAAGTGTTAAGGCAAATATATCACCTGAATATCAGCACGTCTTCAACCCGACATAGCTGAATCTGTGTCTATTGTTGATTCATAGCTGAATCTGTGTCTATTGTTGATTCATAGTTGAATCTATGTCTATTGTTGATTCATAGTTGAATCTGTGTCTATTTTTGATTCATAGTTGAATCTATGTCTATTGTTGATTCATAGTTGAATCTGTGTCTATTGTTGATTCATAGCTGAATCTGTGTCTATTGTTGATTCATAGTTGAATCTATGTCTATTGTTGATTCATAGTTGAATCTGTGTCTATTGTTGATTCATAGCTGAATCTATGTCTATTGTTGATTCATAGTTGAATCTATGTCTATTGTTGATTCATAGTTGAATCTATGTCTATTGTTGATTCATAGCTGAATCTATGTCTATTGTTGATTCATAGCTGAATCTATGTCTATTGTTGATTCATAGCTGAATCTGTGTCTATTGTTGATTCATAGCTGAATCTATGTCTATTGTTGATTCATAGCTGAATCTATGTCTATTGTTGATTCATAGCTGAATCTATGTCTATTGTTGATTCATAGTTGAATCTGTGTCTATTGTTGATTCATAGTTGAATCTGTGTCTATTGTTGATTCATAGTTGAATCTGTGTCTATTGTTGATTCATAGTTGAATCTGTGTCTATTGTTGATTCATAGTTGAATCTGTGTCTATTTTTGATTCATAGTTGAATCTATGTCTATTGTTGATTCATTGTTGAATCTATGTCTATTTTTGATTCATAGTTGAATCTATGTCTATTGTTGATTCATAGTTGAATCTGTGTCTATTTTTGATTCATAGTTGAATCTATGTCTATTGTTGATTCATAGCTGAATCTATGAATCTGTAAGAAACCATGCTAATAATTTGTCCAGACCGACAGACTTGTCACGACATTATATAAGATATTAACAGGGAATATTTTTTAAGAAACTCACTGGATGTAATATTGGAAAGCCGATTTCATAGTTAATACTTGACAAATAAGTTCAAAATATGCGTTCCAACTCTGGCATCACTCAGGTATGTGAGTTGTAGAGCACTTCCTACACTCTAAATACATGAGAAACAGTAGCCAGTCATTAAGAACACGAGGGGGAACGTTCCCTGTTTGTTAAATTTATTCCCTGTTTGTTAACCGCAGACATTTATCCAGTGATGTGGCTACTGGATATTATATATGTAGTGACAGATCTCCTTCCCCTAATATATGCTCGATGTTGAAAGGTATACTACGGGTTCACCATAGCCCGTGTTACCTGGAACTTTTTGTTTCAGGTAGCAAATCTTTAACAACAACAATATTGAAAGGTATTTTAAGGGTGATATGTTCATGAGTTAAACATAGCATTATGATGTGTGAAGGTGTGATGGAGGTAATACTCAATTGTCTTTGGAACACGGGAGTGGGTGTAAAGTTCACTTGTGTCTGACGTGTACTTACAGCTGCTGGCTGTTACTATGGTGTCTTCCAGACTTAGTTTGGTCGTTATGTCTATTTATCTGTTTTTTTTTTTATGTCTGACAAGTTTCCCTCATATTTTGTAATGGCTCCAAAGTCTAGGGAGGAGTTTGACGTTTTCCATTCTGCTTTAAAAATCTTGGGTGCTATGGTAGGGGGGGGGGTCAATAAGATGGGTTTAATAGTTCTTTAATGTGTTTACGTCTATACTAGAGGTCCTTGTAACCCGTAATAGGAAGGGTTGTGTGTAGTTGGTGGGTGAGTGAGGGTTGTGGTGGGCCAGCAGTGATGTAGTCACAGTTGCATCACTGGTGTGATGCAACTGTCACTGCACTGTACTGTACTCCAGGTGTACACACCTGGAGTACATCACTGCACTGTGATGTACTCCAGGTGTGTACTCACCTAGTTGTACTCACCTAGTTGTATTTGTGGGGGTTGAGCTCTGGCTCTTTGGTCCCGCCTCTCAACCGTCAATCAACTGGTGTACAGGTTCTTGAGCCTACTGGGCTCTATCATATCTACACTTGAAACTGTGTATGGAGTCAGCCTCCACCACATCACTGCCTAATGCATTCCATCCGTTAACTACTCTGACACTGAAAATTCTACTGTTAATTCTGTTAACTACCCTGACCCTGAAATGGTTGTGTTGTGAGAACCAGGCCTGTGAGGGGAGCTTCTCTCCTGAAGGTTTAGGAGGTCAGAAGTGGCTGATGACGGCGCTTGTCTCACAAGAAGGGACGCACTAACTACCTAACTACTGTAGTAACCACACTGCTATACCAGTTCCAGTGGTAATCACTGGAACTTCTCACAAGGGGGTTCACTTTGGAAATCTTATTGATATAAAGACAATACTAACAAAAAAATTTAATGGACCCTCACCGATGGTCATCTAAATATTTGAGAGGAAATGTGTCACGTGATTGAAAAGAAATATATTTAATAAAACTATCAATAGAAATTAAAATATTTATCCAAATAAATTTTCAATTATTCCTTGCCCTTAAGTGCACGCTAATGACTCTAGTGGTCCACAGGGAAGACATCCGCTCAAGTGAATGGTTTGAGAACGCCTACATAATTACTGCTATTGTCTACTCTCTACCCTTGATTAGGTTAGGTTAAGGTTACTTTTGGTTAAAGTTGGTTTAGGTTAGGTTAGGTTTCATTACCTTTAGTTACATTAATAGTGTATTATCGACGGTAATTTGAAATATAGAATTCGTAAACTATTTCATTGTATCCAAGAATTTTGTTTACAGAAAACCAAATTCTTCAAAGAAAACATATTCTGCATATACTTTATATATTTTAAACAAACGATTTATATTATAATAAAGTTATAACCTTAGAATACTTTTTTGTTTAGGACAATAGTTCACTTCCCAGTTTACACGTAAACTATTCCAGGAACCATAATATGCTTTCAGACCATCACAAATCAACTATCGAGAAGATTTTAAGGTGGGTATGGTTGCTCATGGTAGTGGATTGGAGCTGAGGACGGATTCCATGATTGAGATCATGGTTTCCTAATTATGGGAACCATGCCAGGGAACCATGCCAGGGAACCATGCCAGGGAACCATGTGAGGGAACCATGCCAGGGAACCATGCCAGGGAACCATGTGAGGGAACCATGTTTGCAGAACACGGCAAACAAATTACAACTCAGACGATTCAAAGAAACCCAAACAAAAGAGAAACCCCCAAGAAACCTGACATTTGCTTAAACCTGTGTAAGGAATCCCAAAGAGTTCAACTGAGGTTTGGATAATTGTATATATATATAAACTCTCTACAAGTCACAGATCAAGTCTATTGGAAGATCTAGCTAGATTCTTAAAAGCTTTTGCTTCTAATTTATGTCTAATTCCCAGTTTAGGAGTTCTGGTGAGGGAGGAGGCTCTTTGACACACGGAAAGTGAGGTGTGTAAGAGCGACCTGTGGACACTCCCAGTACTTACAGCGGGGTGGTGTAGCTGTGGCTGCTGTGGCTGTGGCAACAGGTGCTGCTGACCATACTGTTGGGGGGTGGGGCGGGAGGGGTGGGGGTATGTGGGGGTAGGGTAAATGGGTAGCAGCTGATGGTGTACTGTCCCCCCTCCCCCCACCCCTTCCCCACCCGCCACCACCACCTCACGAGGGAGTACCTCACAGTAGCTCTGGTCTGTTCCACCGTAGCTGGGCGGAGGTCGGAGGAGAGGCCCTGTGGGCGTGAGGGTGGCGTGGGCGTGAGGGAGGGTGGCGTGGGCGTGAGGGAGGGTGGCGTGGGCGTGAGGGAGGGTGGCGTGGGCGTGAGGGAGGGTGGCGTGGGCGTGAGGAAGGGTGGAGTGAAGCAGGTGTTGGGTTATGAGGTCCGGATCCACCTCACTCTCGCTCTCAACCTGCCAACAACATAACACATCATCAACTCTTCATCATCAATAGCCAAATTATTTACATATTTCTTTCTAAATCATATACATACGACAAAGAGTGCTGGGAAGACGGGACACCACGAGCGTACCTCTCATCCTGTCCCTACACTTACGTAATTACTAATTACGTAATTACGTCGACGTAAGAGAGTTAAAATATTAAAGTTATTGTCTTATAATAAAAAAGGTTAAATCTAACACCAGTTTTGTTGACTAAATATTTATATAATTAATACTCAGGGTTAAAAATAAACAGAAACAAATGTATACAAAATATTATTTATAAGTTTAGATTGACCATACGTGACCTTGGAAGAACTTGATCAGTCTTCTGTAACACAAGACATTGATGTACGCTGCCCAGTATATCATTAGATTGACTTTCTATGCATCAACTAGCCATTTTCCTCACAGACATCAATTTACCTAACAAGGCCATCAAGTAGTTATTACCCCGAAGTGCTTCATCAATAAACACCGATAGTTAACCAAGACGCAGTGCTCATTCCTAATCTATTTAGCAAAGTTCCTCTTTCGCCGAATGAATATAATTGAGTTTGAAGTTTAGCATTTCCAATTAGTGTCATATAGTTTAGACATGACCAAAACAGCTCGCTGCCAGCAGTCACCAGCTGGGAGAACAGTTCCAACACTGACATCTGACGTGACCCGAACATGTGTGGTCGTCTGACCTTTACCGGAGCCACGACGTGACCGTCACTGATGACACTGGCAGTGACATTAGCGTCACTGTGATCACACGTCCCGTCAGTCTGCAGAAACAGCTTCATCCCACAATAACAGCGAAGGTTCAACTGCCCAGGAATACTGCAGTCCCTCGACACACGATTAATAATTATCAAGCTACAAGGGTCAGGCAGTGCCAGGCAGGCTGTGGCACTTGCCTCCCGGGCACTGTAGGAGATGAGACATCAATGTCTCTCATCAATGTCAAGATGAGAGACATATAGATACCTTATCTAGACCATGGGACGCCTTCTTGCACTGTGACAGTGATAATTGCTGGCTACCGAAATGACTCTCTGAGCGCTGAGTTTCTATTGAAGGTTAGCGAGAACCTGACAGTCCACCTTTCACTTGATGGCTCCTTCAGAGTACCCCGACATGACCTTGTAGCGAGGCCCTGACCTCTCGCGGGCGGGTCTGACGTCAACACGTTGATGTCAAGGTCAAGCGGGTCCCTGACACACTAGTCTACCTGAAAACTGGTCGAGGAGCAACTCAGTACAGTGAGGATACTCTGTGGATACTCTGATGTTTACTTCATGCTCTCTGTGAAGAGGTAACCACTACACAACCTGTAACTTATGTCAAACTGTTATCGGGGCTACTTGTCTAGGCCTTATACAGTGAGGTCAAAGTTTGGAGGAATGTTGTTGATAGAAACGTCATCCCAGCATCCCTAACATCCCAGCATCCCAAGATCCCAGCATCCCTAACATCCCAGCATCCCAAGATCCCAGCATCCCTAACATCCCAGCATGTCTGTGTTGAACCAGCTACCTTCACCCGCCTCTGAACCTCCAACCTTTGGTTGGATTCAATCAAGGAGATCCAAGATACAAAATCAAAGACCTAATGAGGATGTATGAAATGATTAGCAACAGCAATGTCCCTCATGCTCTCTACCTCCTCACAAACTGCCTAACTTTACCTAAGCTATATTTCTGAGGTTACTCTTCCCGTCAGACTTGGTGGCCTTGGTGCCCACACAGCCTCCCAGACGGCACTCAGACATCACTGTGAGTGAAGTCTGACTTCAGAAGCCACAAGCCCGTCACCCATCACACCCACCTGCATTTCTCTGTGAGCACAGGTGTGTGCGGGCGGGTCACGGGCGGCCTTGAGTATCGAGGGCGGCGAGGCGGTGGGCGTGAGGGTGCAGGTGGGCGGGGGGACGGGAGGAGGTGGTGGGCGGCGGACCCTGTGGCGGACGAGGAGGCCCAGCAGGAGCAGCAGCAGCAGCACACCCACACTGGCGCCCACCACCACGGACACCAACGCCGGCACATCCGCCAGATCTCGCCCCAACACACTGTGGGAGAAACACCACCACCAACACATTTTAATTCATTAGTATTAACAGATAATATAAACTTAATTTATATTTATATATTACTGGTTATCTTAAATTAGTCAATTAATTATATTTGCATACAATTCCTGTATAGCATTTAAATTTTGAGAATTTTATTGTATAAGCTAAATGAAGCTCCTACAGGGTAGACTGTCCTAAAATCCTTCAAATAATCTGTATACAATTTCATGGTCGTGGAAGCTGTCAGTGTACCCTGAGAGTTGGTGGTGGGAGGACGCACCGGCGAGGCTCCAGGACTTTGTTACAAATCGTCGATTATGAGATTGGCTGAGACTTTGTGGCGTACTAAGCCACACCCTAGTTCACCTCAGGAAAGTTATGACATAATAGTTGTCTCTAAATTCTTACAAGTTGCATGCAGCAGTGAAGAAATGCTTTGGTTGCAGGCCAAGTAATGACTGTGAAGCGCCCACCTCAGCACACTGTGCATGGGTCAGAGGGACTGTGTCAAAGGTCACTTCCGATGTGCCCCGCTTTCTAAGACTACTCCCTATCTTGGTCTAGCACTGTTGAAGTAAAAGGTGCAGTGAAATTGTTGCATGTAAGAGCAGCCCTGAAGGTGATTACCATGTGTGTGAGAGAGATAGGCAAGTGGTATGCTAACCTACTGCTCCAGGGAGACAGTGGTATTAGCAGTGAAAGGCTACTGCTATCTGATCCAGTGCCAGTGTAGTGACCCAAGTTAGCCCAGAGAGTTCCAGGGATTTAGTAGTGGTAGTCCTCTGGGAGGAGTCACTGGTGGTAGTCCTCTGGGAGGAGTCACTGGTGGTAGTCCTCTGGGAGGAGTCACTGGTGGTAGTCCTCTGGGAGGAGTCACTGGTGGTAGTCCTCTGGGAGGAGTCACTGGTGGTAGTCCTCTGGGAGGAGTCACTGGTGGTAGTCCTCTGGGAGGAGCCACTGGTGGTAGTCCTCTGGGAGGAGTCACTGGTGGTAGTCCTCTGGGAGGAGCCACTGGTGGTAGTCCTCTGGGAGGAGCCACTGGTGGTAGTCCTCTGGGAGGAGCCACTGGTAACCAGCTACGATTGATTAACGCGATCTTGTGATATGAGGACCACTTAGGATCTGAGGTCCTAGTTAGTCACTTTGAAGCACACATACAGTATACAATCACACAATAATACATTTAATATACACAAACTTGCGGACATTTCCAAGCTCCAACTGCTAAGTTTCAAGACAAGAAGAGCGACAGAGAAGACCTGTTTCGTTTGCTCAATAAGTTAATTAATTAATCCTGAAATGTGAATGAAGTCTAATCAGCCCGAGGAGCCATCAGCAGTGTGAGTTTGGGTCTCCAGCATCTGTCAGTCATCAGACGACTGTCAGTTAGTGTCTGTCTCAGCGTCAAAGATGGTTGACAGTCACCCAATTCCCGCCTCACTTGAAAAGGACCATAGTATTGTGCTTCGGGCTGTTAACTGGTTCTTTTTACTCTTTTTTTCATATCACTTTTATCTACTTTTAACAAGATTGTAATTATTTTGATTTATGTTTTGTTAATCAATGACTGGAAATGGTATCTTTGGCGATATTTAAAGGATGCACTGGCAATAGAATTGATCATCTTGAAAACTGCAGAGACATGGTCTGACCCAGCGTCCTTAGTCACTATTAGGAGCTCGTGAATTACTGGCTTATAAAGCCTGTTCTTGTCAGTTGTCATAATGATTGGCATGACATATACTGTAGTTATCGGCTGTGGATGGTGTTGTCGCCTCTTGATGCTAACGATCATCACAGCTTTAACAGCCTCGTTACACTGTGGAACCCACCTGTTACCACTGGTGCCACCGGTGCCACCGCCGAGGTCACTGCCATCACTGCTGCCCTCCCGCACCTCTGCCACCACTGTACAACGAACAACAAAAGAATGTTATAAGTCATCTGGGTTTAATATGTTAAATACATGTTTAACATCAAGTGCAGAGACAAGGAAGATTACAGTTACCAAATGCCCAAAATGTGTCATTATTGGCTTCCAAATATCAGTTTATATCACTGTAGCTCACGTGAAAATGTGTGAATATTAAATATTAGTGAAGTATGTCAGAGTTCACACATATTAAAACTAATCATAAAATCTATGGAATTGAGGCAGAACATTTCACATTTACAGACGTCATGAGAGAGGAAAATTGGGTTGAGCCCCACTTTAGGTGAGGGGAGGGGGGCACTGGGTCAACCCCCGACCCCTGTATGACCCTTGGAACCAAATCACCATTAATCCTGAGACGTTTAATGAGACTAGCGCCAAGCGTTTGACCTGTAACGTTACAGAGGCAAAAAAACAGTCATTCTCTCCTATATATATAGAATATTTCTGGCTGTCAGTTCAATCTAAGGTGTTTGAGTGTGTGGTTCAGTGTTGCTGATGTGTTTCACGCAACATTGCAACATTCTCTCTGACGTAAAATAAGACTCTCTGTCCTCATCTGTTGCGTCTCTCCGTTTGAAGCAATTTGAAATCATTAGTTACAATTTCCTTCTTTCGTGTTTCTCATACCAATAAAATATATAAGTTTTGTTTTTAAAAATGTTCTCAACCTAACCATTTTATATAAATTATTTACGTTATTCATGTATTGAAGCATCTAATGTGTGTGTTAATGCGTTAATCTCTGTGACATCTATTGCCTCAAATAAATTTATAATAATAAAAAAGATGAAATGGTCTTATTTTAAGTAAAAATACTTTCCTCGGATTTGCTAACTTGGTTATCATATTTGCTGCTTGTTCCTTGTGGGTGTACACTCATAGCTGAGTCTACCTGTTCCTTGTGGGTGTACACTCACAGGTGAGTCTACCTGTTCCTTGTGGGTGTACACTCATAGCTGAGTCTACCTGTTCCTTGTGGGTGTGCACTCATAGCTGAGTCTACCTGTTCCTTGTGGGTGTACACTCATAGCTGAGTCTACCTGTTCCTTGTGGGTGTACACTCATAGCTGAGTCTACCTGTTCCTTGTGGGTGTACACTCATAGCTGAGTCTACCTGTTCCTTGTGGGTGTACACTCATAGCTGAGTCTACCTGTTCCTTGTGGGTGTACACTCATAGCTGAGTCTACCTGTCCCTTGTGGGTGTACACTCACAGCTGAGTCTTCTTGTAGACTAAATCACGACAAATGTTGCTCTGTACTAAATTATCTGAGTCTACAACATCAGGTCGTGTCACATGCACCCCGTCCCATGTTTGCTATCGAAATTGCCTCCAGTTGTCAATATAGTGTATTGCACTGAACGGGCAACTCTTGTCCAGGCAGCAATTGCTATCACCTGCTATCATCCATCCCTTTTCAACTGTTCTTCGTGACAGGAAGCCACAACTGACTGACTGAGATTCCTTTCTAGGACTTCATTCCATAAACGAAAGCCCTATAATAGGCAATTGATATCTTACTTCTATGATATCAGTCAGCCTTGCCTCAGACATCAGATAGCCGGTTAGGGGTCCAATTTTACACAAAATGTAGTTCACTGTATCAGTAAATCTCCCTCTCAGGCTCAGGAAAACACACCATTATCCAAGGATTCTTAACCTTGCCATATAATGCTTCCTCCTAATGGAAAGAACATTGTAGGCTCCTGGGCATAATGAAACACATAATGTATAATGAGAGGCATAATGTACAATGCGTGTCAGCAAGTATTAAAACCCTCTACACTTAATTTTAGAGTATTTGGTCTCCGTTACTCTCACTTTGGCCTCTTAAACCTGAATTATAATAAAAACATGATTCCCTGAAGCAGTGAAATAATACTCAGGGGTTGAAGGGAAGATGGTTCAAGACGTTTTGGGCCCGTTTCCTCAAACACCTGATGTCTCTGTTCACCTATCAGTAAATAGATACTTTAGAGTTAGGCCAGTTAGTGCGGGTTGCATCCCAGCAAAGGTCAGAAGTGAGTTTTAGGTCATGTTGGTATTACTCACTGTGGGCGGTGTGTGGGTGTGCTTACTCACCGTGGGCGGTGTGTGGGTGTGTTTACTCACCGTGGGCGGTGTGTGGGTGTGTCTACTCACCGTGGGCGGTGTGTGGGTGTGTCTACTCACCGTGGGACGTGTGTGGGTGTGTCTACTCACCGTGGGCGGTGTGCTGGGTGTGTCTACTCACCGTGGGCGGTGTGCTGGTGTGTGGGCGGGTGGGTGGTGAAGGCCCGCAGGTGGACGGAGGGGCTGGCGCCCTTGTCATTGGCCGCCCACACCTGCAGACGGTACGTGGCATCTGGCTCCAGCTCGCCCACCTGTCAACACCCAGGAGGAGAGCTTTATCAGAACCGTCAATTGTCATCTGTCACTGTCAGTATACCTCATACTACCACCTGTCACTGTCAGTATACCTCATACTACCTCCTGTCACTGTCAGTATACCTCATACTACCACCTGTCACTGTCAGTATACCTCATACTGCCACCTGTCACTGACAGCATACCTCAAAAGTATCAGTCACTGTCAGTATACCTCATACTACCTTCTGTCACTGTCAGTATACCTCATACTACCTCCTGTCACTGTCAGTATACCTCATACTACCACCTGTCACTGTCAGTATACCTCATACTACCTTCTGTCACTGTCAGTATACCTCATACTACCTCCTGTCACTGTTAGTATACCTCATATTATCACCTGTCACAGTCAGTATACCTCATACTGCCACCTGTCACTGTCAGTATACCTTATACTCCCACCTGTCACTGTCAGTATACCTTATATTACCACCTGTCCACCCTGGTCCACCCTGGTCCACCCTGGTCCACCCTGGTCCACCCTGGTCCATCCTGGTCCACCCTGGTCCACCCTGGTCCACCCTGGTCCACCCTGGTCCACCCTGGTCCATCCTGGTCCACCCTGGTCCACCCTGGTCCACCCTGGTCCACCCTGGTCCACTCTGGTCCACCCTGGGCCACCCTGGGCCACCCTGGTCCACCCTGGTCCACCCTGGTCCACCCTGGGCCACCCTGGGCCACCCTGGGCCACCCTGGTTCACCCTGGACCGCCCTGGTCCACCCTGGTCCACCCTGGGCCACCGTGGTCCACCCTGGGCCACCCTGGTCCACCCTGGTCCACCTGGGCCACCATGGTCCACCCTGGTCCACCCTGGTCCACCCTGGTCCACCCTGGTCCACCCTGGTCCACCCTGGGCCACCGTGGTCCACCCTGGGCCACCCTGGGCCACCCTGGTCCACCCTGGTCCACCCTGGTCCACCCTGCTCCACCCTGGTCCACCCTGGGCCACCCTGGGCCACCCTGGTCCACCCTGGACCACCCTGGTCCACCCTGGTCCACCCTGGTTCACCCTGGTCCACCCTGGTCCACCCTGGTCCACCCTGGTCCACCCTGGGCCACCCTGGTTCACCCTGGACCGCCCTGGTCCACCCTGGGCCACCCTGGTCCACCCTGGGCCACCCTGGTCTACCCTGGTCCACCCTGGACCGCCCTGGTCCACCCTGGACCACCCTGGTCCACCCTGGGCCACCCTGGTTCACCCTGGTCCACCCTGGACCACCCTGGTCCACCCTGGTCCACCCTGGGCCACCCTGGTCCACCCTGGTCCACCCTGGTCCACCCTGGGCCACCCTGGTCCACCCTGGGCCACCCTGGACCGCTCTGCTGAACCAAGGGAATCACTGGAAACCCCTGTAAATAATTCCAGACTTTCCCTCGTGTCCAACACATTTACATTTTCTGAGGTAAATATTAGAGTGTAGAGACCACCAGCTGCTGGATCCACACCTGCTGTGAACTTAGCCTAGATCAACTCACACGCACGCACACACACGCACGCACACACACGCACACACACACACGCACGCACACACACACACGCACGCACACACACGCACGCACTCACGCAGACCTGTCTCCTGCAGCACATATCAAGCGAATAACATCAGCGGCATATGCCAGGCTGGCCAACATACGAACGGCATTCAGAAACTTGTGTAAAGAATCATTCAGAACTTTGTATACCACATATGTCAGGCCAATCCTGGAGTATGCAGCCCCAGCATGGAGTCCATATCTAGTCAAGGATAAGACTAAACTGGAAAAGGTTCAAAGGTTTGCCACCAGACTAGTACCCGAGCTGAGAGGTATGAGCTACGAGGAGAGACTACGGGAATTAAACCTCACTTCGCTGGAAGACAGAAGAGTTAGGGGGGACATGATCACCACATTCAAGATTCTGAAGGGGATTGATAGGGTAGATAAAGACAGTCTATTTAACACAAGGGGAACACGCACAAGGGGACACAGGTGGAAACTGAGTGCCCAAATGAGCCACAGAGATATTAGAAAGAACTTTTTTAGTGTCAGAGTGGTTGACAAATGGAATGCATTAGGGGGTGAGGCTGACTCCATACACAGTTTCAAGTGTAGATATGACAGAGCCCGATAGGCTCAGGAATCTGTACACCTGTTGATTGACGGTTGAGAGGCGGGACCAAAGAGCCAGAGCTCAACCCCCGCAAACACAACTAGGTGAGTACAACTAGGTGAGTACGCACACACGCACGCACTCACGCACATCTGGTTGAGTCAGAAGCCACGCTACCAGGAAGCGTTTGTTGGTGAAACAAGAAGTCTAAATTCCGCTCCACTGGGGCTCACCTGTAAGATGGGGGCCCCTGACCTGTAAGATGGGGTCCCTGACCTGTAAGATTGGGACCCTGACCTGTAAGATGGGGACCCTGACCTGTAAGATGGAGGCCCTGACCTATAAGATGGGGTCCTTGACCTGTAAGATGGGGACCCTGACCTGTAAGATGGGGGCCCTGACCTGGAAGATGGGGGCCCTGACCTGTAAGATGGAGGCCCCTGACCTGTAAGATGGGGGGCCCTGACCTGTAAGATGGGGGCCCTGACCTGTAAGATGGGGGCCCCTGACCTGTAAGATGGGGGGCCCTGACCTGTAAGATGGGGGCCCTGACCTGTAAGATGGGGGCCCTGACCTGTAAGATGGGGACCCTGACCTATAAGATGGGGCCCTTACCTGGAAGATGGGGGGCCCTGACCTGTAAGATGGGGGCCCTGACCTGTAAGATGGGGGCCCTGACCTGGAAGATGGGGGCCCTGACCTGTAAGATGGGGACCCTGACCTGTAAGATGGGGACCCTGACCTGTAAGATGGGGGCCCTGACCTGTAAGATGGGGTTCCCTGACCTGTAAGATGGGGGCCCTTACCTGGAAGATGGGGGCCCTTACCTGGAAGATGGGGTCCCCAGCAGTGAGGTTATGGCCCTGGGTGCCAGGGCGGGCCACCCGCAGCAGAAACACCTGGCGAAGCCCTCCGTCAAAGCCGGCTTGGCAAGCCACCGAGAAGCCGGTCGACGTCTGGTTGAGTACCGAGCAGTTGACTGGTGGATCCGGCTTTCCTGTCAAGGGAACAGTACAGTATAAGGTGGGTGTTGGGGAGGGAGTAAGGCAGAGTATGAGGACTCATGAAGATGAAGCCACCCAAAAGGTGGCACGGGCATGAATAGCCCGTAAGTGGTGGCCCTTTTGAGCCATTACCAGTATCAAGAGCTGATACTGGAGATCTGTGGAGGTGCGGCTGCACCCTGCGTGACGGGAGATGTCTCCCGTGAGAGTGTAAGGAGACGGGTGATGGCTATAGCTGGCCAGGTATCAGGGAAGAGGGGGGAAGAAGGTGATTATCAAGAGAATCGCCAAGCCATTACGACTATATAGCACTTGGAAGGGGTCAGGATAAGGTTTTGGGATGGGACGGGGGGAAAGGAATGGTGGCCCACCACTTGTGGACGGTCGGGGATTGAACGCCGACCTGCATGAAGCGAGACCGTCCAGTTCAAGTGGTTAAGGGAGGGGGGGAGGGGAATCTGTAAGACACACAGATACAGTGTTATCGCCTCACGATAACGTTGTTAGAGAATATAATACTTTCCTTATTAACATCACTCAATAGCGCGGTCGATAGAGCTTCGGCTTCACACGCAAGGGGGGGTCAGGATTCGAGTCTCCAACAGTCCAGGTGAACGGAGCGTTAGAAAAGATGTTCAGGGGCTATAATAACCTTTCTTTTATACAGCTTTATCCACCATAACATGGTGTGGAGGTGTGATTAATACTGATTATTGATTGGGGTTTAATAGAGGAGTAATTGGTGATCTGTGTTGAGAGTATGTGTGTGAGGGTTGATCAACAGTGTGGGGGGGGTAAGATACTTGGTGGGGTGGCCGGCGGTGCCCGGGTCTCTTTCTTTCCTCTCCTTCCACGCATTTTCTACCTGCTTCCTCGTTTTTCTCCGTTCTTTTTGTCCCTTCTCTTCCTCTCTCTTCCTGTGTTATGGTCTTCTCTCTCTGCTTGACTCCTTCCTCCTCTCTTCTCTTCCTCTCTTAAGGCTCCTCATTCTTAATACACGTAATACTTCATCCCTGTCTTACCTACTGTCTCTCTCTGTCTGTCTCTCTCTCTCTCTCTCTCTCTCTCTCTCTCTCTCTCTCTCTCTCTCTCTCTCTCTCTCTCTCTCTCTCTCTCTCTCTGTCTCTGTCTCTGTCTCTGTCTCTCTCTCTCTCTCTCTCTCTCTCTCTCTCTCTCTCTCTCTCTCTCTCTCTGTCTCTGTCTCTGTCTCTCTCTCTCTCTCTCTCTCTCTCTCTCTCTCTCTCTCTCTCTCTCTCTCTCTCTCTCTCTCTCTCTCTCTCTCTCTCTCTCTCTCTCTCTCTCTCTCTCTCTCTCTCTCTCTCTCTCTGTCTCTGTCTCTCTCTCTCTCTCTCTCTCTCTCTCTCTCTCTCTCTCTCTGTCTCTGTCTCTGTCTCTCTCTCTCTCTCTCTCTCTCTCTCTCTCTCTCTCTCTCTCTCTCTCTCTGTCTCTGTCTCTCTCTCTCTCTCTCTCTCTCTCTCTCTCTCTCTCTCTCTCTCTCTCTCTCTCTCTCTCTCTCTGTCTCTGTCTCTGTCTCTGTCTCTCTCTCTCTCTCTCTCTCTCTCTCTCTCTCTCTCTCTCTCTCTCTCTCTCTCTCTCTCTCTCTCTCTCTCTCTCTCTCTCTCTCTCTCTCTCTCTCTCTCTCTCTCTCTCTCTCTCTCTCTCTCTCTCTCTGTCTCTCTCTCTCTCTCTCTCTCTCTCTCTCTCTCTCTCTCTCTCTCTCTCTCTCTCTCTCTCTGTCTCTGTCTCTGTCTCTGTCTCTCTCTCTCTCTCTCTCTCTCTCTCTCTCTCTCTCTCTCTCTCTCTCTCTCTCTCTCTCTCTCTCTCTCTCTCTCTCTCTCTGTCTCTGTCTCTGTCTCTCTCTCTCTCTCTCTCTCTCTCTCTCTCTCTCTCTCTCTCTCTCTCTCTCTGTCTCTGTCTCTGTCTCTGTCTCTGTCTCTCTCTCTCTCTCTCTCTCTCTCTCTCTCTCTCTCTCTCTCTCTCTCTCTCTCTCTCTCTCTCTCTCTCTCTCTCTCTCTCTCTCTCTCTCTCTGTCTCTCTCTCTCTCTCTCTCTCTCTCTCTCTCTCTCTCTGTCTCTCTGTCTCTCTCTCTCTCTCTCTCTCTCTCTCTCTCTCTCTCTCTCTCTCTCTCTCTCTGCATAAAGACAGCGAAAACAAGGCAAAACATGCGAAAAAACATTTGGAAAAACTCTACGGAAAATCCACCCCATCATCTCAAGAGTTTTTGAGCGTCGCCATACAGGCCGCTCCTACTAAACTGGGGCAGTTCAGAGGCTGATGCAAAACTGCCTATGACAGTCCCCCACCACACACGTGTCACTCACAAAATCCGAGTTTGGGAAAGAACCAAAAAGAGTTGTTGTATCATATGGCTAGTCTTTTGTTATGAGGAAAGTGTGTATAATGGTCCCATTACGTTAATAGTCTGGGCTTAGTTACTGTGAAGGGTTCGATAACGCTCGAAGGACGTTAGTAGCTACCTTGGTTATCTTATGGTTATCTTGAGATGATTTCGGGGCTTTAGTGTTCCCGCGGCCCGGTCCTCGACCAGGCCTCCACCCCCAGGAAGCAGCCCGTGACAGCTGACTAACACCCAGGTACCTATTTTACTGCTAGGTAACAAGGGGGGGCATCAGGGTGAAAGATACTCTGCCCCATTGTTTCTCGCCGGAGCCCGGGAACGAACCCGGGGCCACAGAATCACGCGTCCAGTGTTCTGTCCACTCAGCCACCGGCTCCCCTGGTCATAAAACTAATCTTGTGTGACACATGTGTCACATGTGTCACATGTGTGACAGCATCTTGACAAGTGTCTCGCCTGACACTGTATACAGAGCAAGTCAGGCACTCCAGCTCCTGGTCTAGGCTTTCCTGCACCCAGCACGGTACTGTGAGTGTGAATACCTTGCGTTACTTCCGAAGATCAACGCTCCCTCGGTCCGGTCTCCCACCAGACGAGTTACCAACAGTGACATACTCCTTAGGCAAGAGAATCCAAAGACTGACACCAATACACAGATGAATCACATTAACTTGATACATCAAACAACAGATCCAATAGAGGCTGTGAAGAGGGCTCGAACCTGTGTGCAGAGGGTTCCTGGGGCCAGATTCACGAAGCAGTTACGCAAGTACTTACGAACCAGTACATCTTTTCTCAGTCTTTGGCGGTTTTGTTTACAATTATTAAACAGTTAATGAGCTCCGAAGCACCAGGAGGCTGTTTATAACAATAACAACAGTTGACTGTGAAGTTTTCATGCTTGTAAACTGTTTAATAAATGTAAACAAAGCCGCCAAAGATTGAGAAAAGATGTACACGTTCGTAAGTACTTGCGTAACTGCTTCGTGAATCTGGGCCCGAGACTTTTGAAGTGAGAATCACCAAGACTTTCTTCAGCCACGGACTCAAGGTTGCAGTGACTGTAAGACGCAATATAAGACCCTCTCAAGAACAACTTAGCCATTGTGTGTGTCTCAGCGATTACATTAAAACCTTCTTGAGTTATAGTTGTGTAAAAGAAGCAACTGAGATGAAAATAATATCACGTCCTTATCTCCAGAGGAATAAATTGATACCAAATGAAATTAGCGTCAAGTTAAGTGGTCTTTATCGCAAACGATGTGTAACCAGGTTGTTAAGCTGCTTCAGCCTCGTTGTGTAACCAGGTTGTTAAGCTGCTTCAGCCTCGTTCGTCCTTGCTATAATTTAATTTATTATTTCAGGCAAAATATATCATTGCACAGCGGATATGTATATTAGAATTATTTAGACTCTGGAAAGTCTTGAGTAAATAATGACATGGGATTAACTGTGTTGATTTATGGAGCAAATTATTGCATAATGTAAGTTATATATATATATATATATATATATATATATATATATATATATATATATATATATATATATATATATATATATATATATATATATATATATATATATATATATATATATATATATATATATATATATATATATATATATATATATATATATATATATATATATATATATATCTTCGAGTCGGGGCCCGGAGTCGGGCCCCGACTCGAAGCTGGTGGAGAGTCATTAGGATGAATGATGAGTAACTAGGATGGAGCCATACCAGAGGATGATATGGTGTTGAGTTCGTGTAGTTGTGGTATGATACAAGTATCTGGTATATTGTGAACATGTTCCACCACCACGCGAATTATTGTTTCCTAAGATGGCACTCATGTTGCACTAGTGGTGAGTGAGTGAGTACATCCCAGCCCCTTTTTGTTCTTTATGATTCACTACTTGGAACAAAAATTTCCAAGTAGCACGGGCCATGGTGAGCCCCGTAGTTCCCAGCCCCTGGCGGGTGTCAGAGGACTCTGGTCCCTAGTACCAGCTGCCACAAGGGCTCCCCTGGGCCCTGACACCCCAGCAATCACAGAGAGCATCACACCAAACAAGTGGAGATGAAAGACCTGATCACAATGTCCCATGATCTTCAGTGAGATGCTGCGTGTCTCGAAACGGTCTTTAAACCCCTTATGAAGTCTGGCCAACCCTCTGTTGTCACAGCAAAATTGCAGAGGATGCTGTGTTGACATCTGAGATCTAGTGCAGGAAGACTGCGTGTCTGTAATGAGAAGGGACTTCTCTCAGAAGATGAGAGAGAGAGGACCAAGATGCTGATGATACTGTTGAAGGTCTATTCATCACGGTGAGTGAGAGACACGCAGGATGCTCTACAAGAGTCTGGTCGTTACGGGGAGATTACTGCTGATGTGATGCTGACCAAACTAGCGCTGCTTCAGAGTGTCTTGATGCCTTGAAAACTCCGTCCACTCCCCCCCCCCCCCGTCACAGATCAGCTTCACCAGTCAAGCTTCATTCAGAAGATGATGACCAAGTTTGCTGGTCTGCTGAACACAGATCTATCTGAAGAAGCTGGTTTAGTGGCGCCTCAGCTGCCTCTGTTGCCTCTGCTGCCTCTGCTGCTTCTGCTGCTTCTGCTGA